TGCAAGCAGAAATTCCCACACTGACAGCTCCTGGCTGGAGAAATTCTTTCCAGGCATTAATCCCTGGCTGTTCCCTGCTCCCATCCCAGACATCATCACATCCCTGGGGAGGAGGGAGCTCACACTTCAATCAAGCAATGAAGGCTCATTTTAAGTGAGACCCAACCCACTGCCAACCTCCAAGGCAGCATTTGCTCCCTGAGTGTCTGGGCCAGCTCTCCAAGGTGGATCAAGGCTTTTCACCAAAGGTCTGGGCTGGATCCCAGCCCCCATTCCCGAAAATCCTGCTGCACCAACACTCCCACGTGGCTTGAACAAGCACCTGTTGGCTCCATTTCTCTTCTCCCTCGTGCCAAGCTGGTCCATACATTTCTCCTTCCATTCTGGCTGCTCTGATCCATGAAAATCAGGTTCCTGCCCATGGCCAATTATGAAATTATTTCAAGATTTTAGCTTTGAATTAGCATTAGTTTCACATTTTCAGAGAGACACAGGGAAAAAAGAGGTATTCACATGGTCCATGCTAAATTCCACCCTGCAGCTTGTGGAATATCCTGGGTTAAGCCTGAAGTCTTTCCACAGAATCATTAAGATTGGAAAAGCCCTCTAAAACCATCAAACCCAAAAATGAATCCACCACCATCATCTTCACTGTTAAACCACGTCCCCAAATGCCACTTCCACACTTTTTGAACACTTCCAGGAGGTTCCCAGCTGCTTCCAAACACAGACCTGAGGCTTTTCCACCCTTCCCAGGGTGAGCTCAGGGCTCTGGGTGCTCTCTGCTGCCTTCCAGGGTCGCTCCGTGGGCAGCCAAGGTGGGACAGCTCCGAGGGCAGCAGGAGCACCATGCCCACCTCCAGAGGCTCAGCACAGCCTGGAGGATCAGCAGCCCATGGAAGGACACAAATGTAACTTCCTGAAGCACTGGAAATGCGGGAGTCCAAGTGTCTGGACAGATGTGTGATTCCTTGGGTTCCCCCCCACAGGGATGGGATAACCACCATCCATCTGTCTCAGCACAGGCAGGAATGTTCCAGGGATGAAAAAATAAAATCCAGCACATCCTTCCCCATCCAGAAAGCTCCTGCAGAAATCCTGGAAGCTGCAGGGATGAACTTTTAGCAGCACTGCCTGCACTAAGCCTTGTGGGCAGCAAAATTCCTTGGGCAATTCCGTCGCTCCCTCCTTGCCCAGCCTGTCACGGCAGAGTCTGCCTGAGCCACCTCCCCTCCTGCCAGTGTTTCTCTAATTGACTCCAGAATTTGCAGATATTCTTCCCAGCCAATCCCTCCTATTGATTGTAATTATCCTCGGAGAGGCAATGGGAGGAATATTAAAGCCATTAAGGCTGATTTGGATTTGATTCGAGCCATTAGAGACACAGCAAGCGGAGCCTCGCCGCTTCCCCGGCACCTCCACGGCTCCTGAGGGCCATAAATCAGCCCGTGGCACATTTGGTACCACTTTGGATGCAGCCAGGAGTTGAGGAAAGGAGGAAAAATGGAAAAAAAAAATGGGAGGGGGTGGCTTCCTGCAGCTGGGTGAGGAGATTGAGCCAAGCATCTCCACAGCGAACCTTCTGAGCTCCAGGTGCCTTCAGGAAAGAGGTTTCTCCTCTTAGGTGGAGTCCAGAAAACTCCAGAGTCACCTGACACAGCCCACCAGGCTTGGAGGGACCTCATCCACTCAATCCAGCTCCAAAACCAGTCATTTAATCCTTTTTGGGGCAGGAATATTCTCCATTTCTAGACAGCACCTGCCCGCCTGGCCCCAGGGAGCACTGCAGTCAGCCTGCCCATGGACATGGGATATCCAGGATGGACCCATCCAGGGCCATCCCACCCCGCTGGGCCTCTGCTCCTCTCAGCAGAGGGGCTGCCAGGGCCAAGCAGAAGCTGCCAAAGCCTTCCCAAATTTCCTGGTTGGAGTTTTCAGGCACCCCCAGGCTGTCTGCAGCCTTGGCCTCACACCCCCCTGGGAGGTGAACAGCGGCCCTGATACCAGCACTGATATCATTAACATTCCCTTTCCTGCCCACTGATGTCATTAACATTCCCTTTCCAGCCTTTCCCACAACTCAGGGCACATCTGTGCAGCCAAGGATGTCACCAAAGGTCCCTCCTCAATTAAAGGTTCCATTCAGTGCAGCTCTCCCAGCCCTCCTTGCATCCAGCCCAGACCCTCCTGCCCGGGAAACTCCTGAAGTGGGGCTGCCTCAGGAGTGGGAATTTCCTTCTCCATGGTCAGTGTCCCTCAGCACAGCCCTTGTGACATGGTATTTTTTGTTTGGACTTAGAGGTTTATTTGTTTTAATTTATGTTACAGTTTTAGAAGTCGTGAGTGTTACAGTATTCTATTTGAACAAGGTAAAAAATGGGGATGTGTTTCTTTTTATAAGGTTTTTTAAGGATAAATTGTTTCATTAAGAAATGATGTTTCAATTCTTTTTATCTTTAACTTAACTAATTATTTGTGTTTTGTAATGTGGATTTTTTTATTTAATTACATAACATTACTTAACCTTATGAAGAAGAAGGATAAGAAGGACTAGTTTCTGTTTTAGAATTTTTATCTGTTTTTATATATATTACTATATTTTAAAACTTTAAACTTCAAGTTTTGTACTATGTGGTATTATATACTTTTATATAAACTACACATTTAACTATTAAACTACACATTTGTAATCATTAACATTAAACTGCACATTTATTATCTTAGTTTTATTGTTTATATATCTTTATATAGTTTTATATTTATAGAGTTTTTATTTATATATTTACTTTTGGAACTTATTATATTGATATATTTAATAGATATATCCTTATTCAATTTTATTGATATATTTAATTGTGGATTTTATTATATGCATATATTTAATAAATATATATCTATATTTTTATTTATATATTTAATTTTGGAAAATTTTTCTGGGTCAGTGTGGCCTTGCAAGGGCCCAGCACAGCCCTGGGAATTGGCAGAGATCCCTGAATCCAGGTTGGGATGCTCAGCCAGGGATCCCAGGGAGAGCCCCAGGGAGCAGCACCTGCCCCTGAAGGGTCACTGCTGTCCCCTGGGGCATGGTAAACCCCAAGAAAACCAGGTCCTGACAGCAGAAAAACCTCGATTTTAATAATCTTAATAAATCATCTTAATAAAATCATCTCCCTCAAACATCTCTCTGGATTCCTGGGAGCAGCAAGCAGCCTAGGAGACCCTTCCAGCCCGAGCTGCTTCCACACCCACCCCGATTCCCTGTCCCAGCCAGGCCTGTCCCACTGGAATCCCCCTTTTCCTGGGGTTTCCAGCAGGCAGAAGGAGCAATCCAGACCATTTCCCTGCTTTTGCTCCCTGGCTGCCTCCTCTCCACCACTGCCATGTTTACAAACACTTGGGCTTCCAGCAGGGCAAGGCAAGGGCTCGTTATAAACACTGAACCGCAGGGAAACGTCAGGGGCGGGAAAACAAAAATAAAACCAGGGATTTTCATGTCAGTCTGGCTCAGCCTGGGAGGTTTTGGGGACATGCAGCTCGTGGGACATGCTGGGTGCTCACAGACACGGCCAGGGAGGGACAGGAGGTGCCTTGGGGACATCAAACAGCCAGGAGGGGAAATGTCCCTTCCCAGCAGCCCTTCCCTTTGATCCCGGGGAGGAAGGAGCAGAGCTGAACACCTCTTCCTCCTCCTCACCCTGGGAGCCAAGGGAAGGGAATCCTGGAGCAAAGGTGCCTCCAGGAGAGCTGGGGAGCTGAGCAAAGTCTCTCCAGAGCCACAAACACTGGGAAAGTCACATCTGCAGGGTGGCAAACTCCAGCTCCTGGGAGGGAAGAGACCTGGAGCTCAGTCCCAGCCCTGGGAGATGCTCTGCATGCCCGGGGCTCCTCTGGGTGTCCATCCAGGCTATTCCAGCCCTGGATCTGCACAGCAAAGCTCCCAGCCCAGCTCTGCACGGGACAAGTCAGGGCGTGAGGCAGCCTGAATTCCTTCCAGGGCCTCTGTGCCTGCAGGAGGGAACGGGAGGATGGAGGAGGAAAACCCTGACAGGGGTAGAATTCCTTAGGTGACAGCTCACCTGGTTAAGCTCATGCCTGGAGGCAAAGAGTTTCCAGCAGTGCCAGCAGACCTGACCAGATAGTGCTGGAGGAATCAGCTCCCAAACCACAAAAATGAGGTGGGTTTTTTTTTTCTTTTTTTTTTTTTTTTTCCTTTTTTCCAGGCTGAGTTGCTGCACAAATGACTGTAATTAAAGCTGTTACCTGTCAGTTCCTCAAGGCACTGAGGCTCCGGTGTTCAGGCTTTGGAAAAAAGCATCCCTGCATGGCAGCAGTCCCACTCATCCCTCAGCTTACTCATCCTGCCCAGCACCCACCCAGATTTGTCACCAATTAGTTGTAATTCAAGGATTCAGGGGGAAATCCCCACCTCCCTGAGCGAGGTGACTTCACAGGAAGTTAGGGCATGGAATGCCTTTTAAACAACAAAAAAAATCATGGAAAAAAATCATGTGTGCCAGAGGCAAGGCCACGGGGCACGGCTGGTGAGGCACACAGCGTTCCTCAGGCATCCAAAGGCTCCTGCAGAGCTTCCAGAGAGGTTCGGTGGATTCCTTCGGAATTCATGCATTATGGAAGAGCCTCAGCCCTGCCGTGTCACTGGTGGCTGCAGTGCTCCTTCCTCTCTCATCACTGCAGCTCAGAAGTTCTGTGCAATTCCCAAATCTCCCTGAATAATGGGATCAGGCACCGATTTACAGGGGTTTCTGTAAAACGGCACCGGGGGTTCATTGTGGCTGGCAGCAGGGCCTTGGGAATGTTCTTTCCCTCAGGAAAGGAGAGCACCCAGCGCCAGCCTGGCACCGCTCCCAGCCTGGGAAAAGCTGATATTCCTTGGCCTCTCCAAGGGACCCAGCTCTGAGACAGCCTGGTGGTGGCACCAGGCTCCTGCCGGGGACACCAGCCCCTGCCACATGCCTGGAGCTGCAGGGAACCAGCCCCACCAGTGCCCAAGGATGCTCCGGGAAAGTTGGAGAAGGGCCGCAGCGGCGCCCATGGGCGGCCGGGCAGCGCGGCGGGGACGGCGGGGACCCCCCGTCCTCCTCCTCTTCCTCCTCCTCCTCCGAGTCCTCCAGCGCCGCCAGGTCCAGGCTGCTGGGGGACGGCGAGGACTTGCCCTCCGAGCACGGCGTGGCTTTGCTGGAGTTGGATTCCGAGCTGGAGCGGCTGCTGCCGGCGTCGCTGCCTAAATCCATGCCATCCTCCCGGGAATCCTGCCGGAGAGAAGCGGAGGGCGGCCGTGTCAGGGATGCCCGGAGCGCTGCTGCCCGCCGGGCACGGGAAACGCCGGCCCGGGGCCGCCCCCGCGCTCCGGAGCTGCCGCCGGCGCGGGGCGGCCCCGGGCGGAGCGGGCGGGGGCGGAGCGGGGCCGGGCTCCGGCTCCGCCGCTCGGGAGCTGCGGGAAACGCCGGCTGGCGGCAAGGAAACACCGCTCCGACGGGCAGAAAACCCCGCGTTCTTGGTATTCTGTTCGATTATTCTTGGTTTGGCTTTCTTTTTTTAAATTGGAACTAAGATATTAGCTGATGTTGTTGTAGTAGCTATTGTAACTAATTTTTTTTGTTACGCAAAAAAAGGATTTATATTTAAATGTTACTCTTTATTCCCACAGTTGTTGGGTCGGGACCATCCCAAGTGATCCCAAGCAGGCTGGTCGGAGAATGGATCAAAGCAGCCCGGAGGGAAGGGGTTTGGGGGTGGTGGTGGAAGAGAAGCTCAGCCTGACCCGGGCACGGGCACTGACAGCCCCAAAACCCTCCCTGTGCCAGGCTGATCCCAGCGGGGGCAGCACGGGAGGGGGGATTCTGCCCCTCTGCCTGCTCAGGTGAGACCCCACCTGCAGAGCTGCCCCCAGGTCTGGGGGCTCCAGCGGATTTAAGGTCCTTCCAACCCAAACCATGCCATGATGTTATGGCTGGGTTTGGGAGGAGGTGACATCGTCTCTGTGTGGGGCTGTGGGTGACTGCAGGGAGTCACAGCGAGTGACAAAGAGTGACATCCTCCCTCCCACGCCCTGAGGGACCACAGGGACCCACCACAAATCCCTGCTGCCACCCTCTCCCCTTTTTTCCTTCTTTAAAAGTAATTTAAAGTAACTCGTTAAGAGTCTCCTATAAATAACTCCGCTAAAAAAAACTAATCTAGTTTCTGCATTCTGGGTCACCGAAGCCAAGTTTAACACGCAAATGTTCCCATTCCCAACTCCACGGCAAGGAGACCTTTTAAGGCACTGTGGTGAAAAGGGAAGCATCAATCCCATGGATCAGGAGCTGCCACACAGGGTGTGGGAGATGTGGCAGCAGGCAGCTGCCCTCTGGTCCTGCAATCCCAACCCTCTGGGTATGGAGGGGCAGAGTTCAGGGCCAGGGGAGAACCAGCAACCCTTAACTGGAATATTGAAACACTGCAATAACCTTGGGGTCACCCACGAGAATCAAAACATCTCTGTGTTATCCACTCTGTCTCCAGCAGAAATCCAAAATATAATTCCAGCCTGTCCCAGCCACTGGGAGGAAATGAACCCTACCCCAAGGGCAGCACGGGGAGTTAAAAATGAAAGGTTGTGCAGGTGGGGAGGTGGCCAAGGCACAGACACCCAGGGAGTGGGCACAGCTCAGGGGCAATCCCCCTTCGAGGTTCCCCACGGCCTGAATGGTCAGGAATTCCTAAGGGATGAGAAGGAGAGGGAACTCCTGGGGCTGCTGAGCTGCTCCTCCCGGGGAGACCTGGCCGGGCAGAGGGAGGAGAGGGGTCTCCTGTGCCAGGTCTGACTCCTCATCCCCCTCCTGGGCAGCAGCAAGCGGGGAGGGGCATCCTGGCAGCCCCGGGAGTACCAAACCCCACCAACATCACACGGGACAAACACTGGGAACAGGGCACGGAGGTTTCAGTGTCCTGGAGCCATCCCCTCTTCTCCTTGTGGCGTGGGAGAACTCAAACTCAACTTCAAACTCATCTTGTCCCTATCCCAGGCTGCTCCAAACCCCATCCAGCCTGGCCTTGGACACTTCCAGGGATCCAGGGGCAGCCCCAGCTGCTCTGGGTGTTCCATCCCAGCCCTCCCCAGAGGGAGGAATTCCTTCCCAAGGCCCCTGTGGCAGTGGGAAGCCATTCCCCATTGCTCTGCCCTGGTTAAAAATCCCTCTCCAGCTTTTCTGGAGGAGACTCTGACCCCCAGGCAGGGCCTTGGAGGGATAAAGTGATACACAGGGAATATCACAGGGTTTATTTGGGATTAACCTTTCCCTTGAGGTGTCTCCTCCAGGTGCTCAGCCCGGATTATCCCAATTTTCTCTCCTGACCCCCAGGAGCAGCTGAATCCCTCCCTGTTCCCAGCTGATCCCTGCTTCCCTCCCAGGCTGCCTGGTGGCTGAAACTCCAGAAAATCAGGAACTGCACAGTGCAGTTTTAAAAATAATCCCAGCAAATGGCAGGAAGGAGCAAAATCCTGGAGATGAATTACATGGGGAAGAGGTTTCACCACAAGGTTGGGAGGGGGTGGCATTTGACACAATTTGTGTGGTGCAATTCTTTATTTGGGGCTGGTTTAACGTCACCACCAGCCTCAAAAGGGAATTTTTGCTGAGCAAAGGAGGAGCTGCCTCACTGCTCCCAGGCTGGGGACAGTTTGATTTATGGGATCTTGGCTGGGGAAGTTTCTTCCCTTCATCATGACTGCACTGATAATGTTTTGTGGAGGACAAGAGCGCTTCCCTCTCCTTGAATTTCCCGGTGTGGAATCTGGAATAGCATGAAACCAGTGGCAGGCAGTTCCCAATCCCAATTTTCCCGTTTTAGTGGGATAAAGCTGCTTCAGCCTTCATTCAATTCATGCTTTAAGGTGCCAGTCCTTGCAAATCTCTCCCTGCTGCCCTGTCCTCAGACAAATTTGTTTTCTTACAAGGTTTAACACATCACACATGTGCTTTTTCCAAGTTTCCCTTTTTTTTTTTCCCCCCCCCACTGCAGACAGATCCAATCATTTTTGACCTCGTAGTAAACCCTCCTCACTTCTAATTATACACAGGGAACATATTTCTGCTCGACCTGCTCAGGAAGGAGCCAGCTCTTGATGCACAAATGGCATTTCTCTCTTCCACCAACCCTTTCCCAACACCATGGAAAACCTGGGATTTGTAGGAATTTTCAATTTTTTGTGAACACAAACCCTTGGAGATGAAAGAATCTGGTTCACAGCTCTTTTATTCAGTGCAGAGGAGGTTTAATACAAACAAGGCTTGTGGGGTTGATTCTGAGGCAGAAATATATCACAAAAACCAGATTTTTATTCTCTTCCTGGTGTTGGTTTCAAAGGCAGTTTGCTGATTATCATAAGATTTAAATGGATTCGATTTTTCTATTTTGGCACTGCTGTAACCCCATTCTAAAATGGGTTTCTTGTGTTCTCTCCTGCTACATTGCAGAAGTTTTTGGGTCAGAGAAAGAGGAAATCAGGAAAATCACAACCACCCTTAAAACACCATAAATGCCTAAATATGGGAACATTTCTGCCAGCTGGGTGTTTATCCCAACACCCTCATGTCCAGCCAGAGCTCCCAAATTGTGGTTTTACTTTAAAACTGGGGTTTGGGTTTTTTCCTTGAACTGACTCCCAGAGAGAGCTGAGCACTGTCCCTGCCCAGGTGGGATTTGCCAGGGAAATGATGCTGGGATAAAAACATCCTCGGGATAAAGCAGGAAAGGGAAGTTTCCTCTGAACACAAAGAGTTTCCCTTTCCTGAAAGGAAAAGGACTGCCCTGAGATCAGGGCACGTTTCCTTTTCCTGCTGCAAGCCCTCTGTGAGCATTCCTGGGCTTTGTTCATTCCACGGGCAGGAAAAAGCTGCCGGAGTTCAGCTGGGAGAGGGGAAGGTGCCCCTGCCCAGGGGACTGGAACTGGATGAGCTTTAAGGTCCTGTCCAACCCAAACCATTCTGGAATTCTGTGATTTGATGATTCTGGGATAAATATCTGGCAGAGTGGAATATTCTACAGCTTATCCATACAGAAAAGTTGTCTCCTCTCTAAAAACCCCATATCATCTTGCCCTTTGCATTCCTGTTATCCCAATCCCTGTCTTTGGGGTCGGGAGCACTGGGGTGTTGCTCTGCCCCAGGTTTTCCAGCCCTGTGCATCCCTGAGATTCCAGCACCCCACCCCGAAATGCCAAATTAGGGCCAATTAATTTAAGAATAGGCACGGTGGGCACTCACCTGCAGCTCCTTGGGGGGCAGGGACAGGATCCATGGGGCTGCATTCCCCTCTGGAATGCTACATCCTCCCTGGGGAAGCTGCAGGGCACAGGGGTGCCATGGCACAGCATTCCTGGCCTTGTGGGCATTGTTCTCCTGGTGCTTGGATTTGCAGGTTTAACTCCTTAAATTTAGCAAACTAAATTTAGCCAATTAATCCTTTGCTTCATTTAGAGGGGGAGGGAAATCACAGCAGGGCTCTGAGCGGTGGCACTGCCACCAAAGCTCTTCTGGTGGCACAGGAGGGGACAGAGGTGCAGCAGGGGGACAAGGGCAGCATCCCAAAATAATCCCTTTCAGGCCAGGCTCAGCATTTTGGGCTCTACCAGCCCCCCACCCGTTCTCCAAACTGGGATTTGATGCTTGCTGGGATGGCTCCACCCCTGCCAGGGCTTCCCTCACTCCCAGAAGTTTTCCCCACATCCTGAAACACCCCCAAAGTCCACGTTGTCTCTTTTCCTTTGGAATAATTGGAGGATGAAGGAGCTGCTCCTGCCCAGACTGGTTTTCCTCTGAATTATTTGCTCTGGGATGAATCCTGGAATGGGTTGGAAAGGACCTTGAAGCTCATCCCATTCCGTATCCATGGGCAGGGACACCTTCCCTATCCCGGATTGCTCCCAGCCCTGTCCAAGCTGTGCTGAAAGCATCCCAGGGATGGAGCTGCTTCCCCCGTGCCTGTCCCAGCCCGGAAGCTCAGGAGGGCCAGCAAAATCCTTGGAGTAAACAAAAGGAATCTCCTTATCTGTCCAACAGCCGCTGGAATTCTTTGTAATCATCAAGGCTAGGGGGGGGGGAAAAATGCCCTTTAATAAAGTGCTTTGGAAGGCACGTGGGTAAGGAATGCGAGCGGGGAAATAGCTGGAATATTTCAAATGCATGAATCCACAGAGCCCTGCTGAATCTTAATATTTATGTTGCCTCCTCTAAATGCATTAACTCCC